CACAGATGTGCCTCTCCTGGTAGAAGCCTGGCATAGTACTCCACAGCTGTGGGCAGAAGGCTGTGCCCTAATATGCATCTCACAAAGGTCTCAAGTAGTGTGGGTCATTTCAACTGAGAAGGGACACTTTTCCCCAGGGCTGCATGGACTGTTCTCATCAAACGCCATTATTGGCACAGAAAGTTGGGTGTGCTATGAAATTCACCCCAATGTACATATTCATAGTTCTCTCACTCATGCACAAAGTTGCCTGATGGACCTGCTACTTTCAACATGTGTCTGTGGGATTCTCATCCATCTGGGGTATCCCACAGACAGAGCAGAACTGAGGAGACAGGGCTGGTTGCGAAAGGATGTGCGTGTGCACAGCCACTCTGTCTTTCTGTCCCGCCTTCAGGAGAGCACAGCTGGAGCTGTCCCCCAGTGGCAGTGCTCTAGGAGGAAGGGGTGTTCTCTGTGATCATGAAAAAGGATGCTGTGCCTTTCATCTTACCCACCAGAGACTCAAGCCAAATCCAGAATCCACTGCCAGACAGCCAGACAGCTGCACCGACATTCCCATCCTATTCCCAGACACTATCATCTTCTCACATCCAGTGAAGGGGTTAACCTCTCCCACTCTCACAGCTGAGTTTAGGTTTCAGTTCTCTGAGAAGGGCAAAACAGGTGTCCCTCCCACAAAGGGCCATTTAGAGCCAGCCTCACAGTGTCTCAAGGACAAATCCAGCAGCCCCTTCTGAGTCACTTCCAAACTTGCACAACCTTGTGCAAGTATGTCCAAAGATGATACAACTAAACCTCAGCCAATTAAAAATATACTAATATAACTTCTGCGTGCTTAACCAATCGTATTCAAGACAACCTGTCTCTGAAACTCCCCGTAGCTATGCTTAAAAGGAGCCTGCATGTTCCTCTCAGGGCTGTCGCCATTTCACACGGGTGAACGACCTTACATGCAGGCTGGAATAGTAATAAACATTCTTTGCTTTACATATTATTTGAGTCTGGGGTTTCCTATGGATCTTATACAATGTTAATTTTATTGCACGTATTTGGGGATCTACCTAAGAGCTTTCACCAGCTTAGCACTGAAAATCCCAACACACTTCCCCCAAACCTACAGTTTTCTAGAAGTCTCATCAGAAACCCCTTACAATGAAAGTATATGCCCTAAACCCTTTGTATGACTATAGAGGGTCCGAGTTTTATCCATGGATCATACAGAGTCCAAAAACAATCTTATTTATGAAAAAGGGAGGAAGTGGTTTCTGAAGAACCCTTTGAGGTTAACCCAACAGCCACTGAAACTGTACACAGCTGCTGTTGAGTTGAAGCCTGTCTTTGAGACGCCCACCCCACGCTCTTGGTGTGTGTAATGCTTCCCGAGGCGCCTCTCTAGTCTAATAAACTACCACCCTGCTTCATGCTGCCTCATTTTGAAATTCCTATTAGTATCAAATCCAACTGTGTCCTGTTTTACTTGAGTCTGGGTTCCTAACGCAGGCATGTCAGGCAACAGAGTGCAGCTGTGCCTCTGTCCTTGCTACTGCTGACAGGAACCAACTACAAAAACAGAGCTTTTAGTTAACAGGCAATGCTGGGCCGAAGAGCTGGCTCGGTGGGTATGAGCCCTGGCTGCTCTTTCAGAGAACCTGAGTTCAGTTCCTAGCACCCACATCGGGACTAATAAGCATCTGCAGCTCCAGTTCCAGTGCCCTCTTTTGGCCTCCGTGGGCATTAGGCAGCACACAGTGCATATTCATACGTGCAGACAAAGCATTCATTGACATAAAATAAAAAGAATAAAAAGTTTAAAAAGTAGCTTAAAAAATTAGATATGATCAAAAAGAAAACTATTAGTCAGGGATAGTCGATAGGGTTGGCTGTGGAAAGACTCAGCCAGATCCACTTGGGGTACGGAGGCCAAGAGGAACCATCAAGGGGCTCAGATCTCAAAGGCCCATGCAGACAATAGTTATATGTCTATGGAACTCACTCAGGAAAGGACTGCAGGATAAAGGCACAGGCAACTGTGTGCCCAAAGTAAGAAGAACATGACTTAAACATGTCGGTGTGAATCTTTCTCCAACTTATATTTTAAAAATGAGATCTCACTGAACATTCAGCTGTCTTATTTTTTTGGCAACATTCTGTGTACTTTATTTATGGCTAGTTAAAAAGCCAGGCCACCAAGCAGACAGTTTGTAGGACACCCTTGTCCTGGACATGGAAGAGGTGCCCCCACCTTCTCTGCCCACTTCACAGGAGCACCTTAAGAGGGACAGTCTTCACCCTAGTGCGTGCTCTCTCTTCTTCTCATAAGTCGGACTGCAGCTCTAAGAATTTTCTAGAAGACATTCCCATAAGAGGAAGGATGAGGCTCAAGGGACCACTTCACAGCTTTCTTTTTTTTTGGGGGGGGGGCTTCAATATGGCAGCACAAGGGACATAAATATTTTAGAATTCTAGCACTGAGCCAATGAGCTTCTCAGTCTTTTCCACGAGCAAAAAACAAACCTCTGGACTAAGCTGATCAAGACTAAACTGATGAGTGCTGAGAACTGGAAACCACTGGATGTCTATGAATGGGAAGGCCTCACAGGCAGGGAACAAACTGGCTGGAGTCGGTGGGCCAAGGCCCTGGAAACAGTCAGCTGGCAGATCATGTGACTACAGACAGAAGGGTTCTCACACTGTTTCTCAGCAAAACAGATGCTGGCTCAGTACCTCCCGCCCTGCCTGGGAACACCCTGGATGGTCCCTGCCGCTGCTGCTACAGAAGCTGAGCTAAGGCTCTCTATGTGGTCATCTGAGCAGGGACTGTCCTGGCTCAGGGAACAGGGATCCACACCACTAGATATCAGTGAACAAACACTGGAGTGTCAGTTCCCCACACTATCCAACAGGGATGCCTTTTACATTTCCATTGTTTTGATATTTCCTCATCTCAGGACAAGGCCATAAGTCAGAGAAATGGTTATCAATAGCTCCAGGACCACAGACAGCATGTCGGAAGTTTGCATCAAAGGCTGAGCACTGGAAGAGTGAAGTGATCTGCGCTGATGGCTGGGAGGAGAGCGGGATGATTCATGGTATGATCTGCAGAACCCCTACTGTAGCCAAGTCCACACCAGGCTAGGCTGGCTGGGGCACATATCACCGTAACTGTTTCTGGATTAACCTCTGAAAACCCTTATGCCAAACTGAGCTGTGTGCCACTTGGTACCAGATAGTGTTTATGTTGGGGGTGACAGGGTGGTCAATCAGGTAGTCAGTATGGGAGGATGGAAGGGAATGGATGACCTCCCCAGACCAGTTACCATGGTGAGTCTCCAGGGCCTACAGGGTACTTCTAGTGGCCCTGTGAGAGCCTGCTTCTGGCAGAGTGATTGATTTGGTGCTTACAGCTGCTAGGGAGACTCGAGCTGTCTGTGGCCTGGGCTGAAGCCTCAACTACCTCTGAAGATAAAACCCCACAGATTGTTATTTGCCTAATGGGACAGGAAGTTTCTGAGCAGCGTCCCATGTATCCGAGGCTGTTACCTTGCTATTGCTAAACCAGCAGCTGAAATGAGCCCAGTCAGCACCTCATCAAAGCTGCATTGAGGAAGCAGCGGTCCAGAGGCAGAGTAACATTCCTACCAGACCAGAGCATGTGCCCTATGGGCCATTTGCTGAGGAAGCATCGACAGCTGGGAAAGCCATCAGAGGACACAGGCATGGCGAGTGCAGCCCAGTGCAAACCCTAAGATTTGTACGCTGCTGAAGAAGAGCAGTCAGTGCATGAGGGCACTGTCCCTGCACAGTCTGAGGGAGTGGAGCTGGGTGTCACAGTCCTGTTACAAACCACTCTGCCGCCAAGCATGTGGGAAATAGTCAGCTTTTCTACCAAGCAGGCTATCTCTCCACACTTGTAAAGTTCCCTATGATGCTGCTGAAATAGCCATGGTACAGAAGCAATGCTCCCCAGACACACACTCACCCTCCCACCCTGGCTCCTGGAATGCAGCCAGAGCCTCGACTTGGGGCTCCCCCCCTCCCAGCAGGAGTGTCGCCTAGAGATGGAACAACCTGCCTTTGCGTTCACTTCCAAACCTATTAGGGAGTGATCATAACGACAGAAACGAGCGCTGACAAGAATTACGCCACCGCTGGAGTTCATCTGCTTAGTAACCCGAAGTTGCAGTTTTTAGAAAAAAAGAAAGGGAGAGAGAGAGAGAGAGAGAGAGAGAGAGAGATTACCTTTTGAATAACCGATTCATTATGGGACATGAATGAATGTCATGTTCCCGTGTTCAAAATGTCACTCAGCATTAAGGATGTGTGCTAGTAAGTGGCAACGATTTACCACATTTGCCCGACAGACAAACACCCCTGTCTGGGGCCCCAGCGATGGGAGGCATTTGTGGGTTTCCTGGGCTCTTAGCAAGTCACCTGTATGTCCTCACACCTCATGAATCTCGGTTCTGCAGTGAGGCTGCCCCACCTCCCCCCTCCAGTGAAGGTGACAGGAAAACTGGGGCTGGTGAAGTTCCTGCCACAGTAACACTATCCATTTCCAGGTCGAGTTCAGAAACCACAGACTCTAGGTGAGTGAGGGGAAGAGACTGTGCCCCTCTTAATGCTGGCTAGCTGTAAGAACATGAGGCGAGGACAGGCAGGAACATGGCAGCTCAACACTGCTGTGTGTCGGGGGGCCCTGCTTGGGCTGGCAGGTAAAGGATATGGTGAGTACCCCTCAGTCTTCCCTCAGCCCGAGAAACCCACACACTGTCCATCACTAACTTCCAGACGTGCATTTGGCCTTTCTCTAAGTCCCAACACAGAAGAAAGAGAAGGCCAGGGAAAGGGCAGGCTGGTGTGTAGGGGGAGGTAAGAAGTGGCAGCATGGAAAAGGTGGCCACACGCACAGTCTGCACTGGCCTGTCACAGTGGCCCGCATACCTGAGAAGGCAGCCACACGCACAGTCTGCACTGGCCTGTCACAGTGGCCCGCATACCTGAGATGGCGTACAGATTGGAGAGCTGGTACTCATAGTCGGTACTGGTGTTGTTTCTGCCTCGGAAGGTAGCTGGTAGTGTTAGTGAGATGTGCCTGAGAGAGACAGGGGAGAAAGGAGGTTACGAGGAGACTCAGAAAGCACACGATGTCATCCACAGGTGAGCAGCAGCGTGCAGTGACCAGGGCAGGTCCTTCTGGGGAGACCTCCATCTTCTCCCTCAGCCCCGGCCCTCTCAAGGAACCAGCAGCCATTTCCTTCCTCCCTTAGGGTATTCCACAGAGACTGGCAGTGAGGCCCAGGCTTCAGTGTGGCATATAATGGATCAGCATGACCAAAACACCCAGGCTCAGAACAGTGGCTTCCACACCCACCACAGTCAGTGGGGATTTTACTATCAGGTCAACTGAGGAGACTAGCAATCTTTGACAGTGAGCATGGCACCCTGGTTTGAGCCACTGTGTCCCACCCGGGCCAGAGGACCCAGTAGGTGCTCAGGAAAGCACCTTCCATAAGTCCACAAAGCTGGCTTGAGCCTGTGTGCAGAGAGTAGAAGCGAGCCTATGTCAAGAGCAAGTACCCCTCCCAACACGCTCATGGTTGTCTTCAGCCAATACTGTCAAGGAGAACCACCGTGGTACAGTACAGAGCCAGCAGGCATGGGGAACACAGCACCCCTAACTTCCTGGAGGGATGGATGCCAGGGGCTACCTAGGGATTATTCAGTCACCTAAGCTTGGGCTATACCCAGGTTTTGCTGGCAGGACAATGACATCAGAATTCCTGCTCTCCCTGCGAGGCCTCACCCACCTGCTGGAATGTTTTCTCTCAGGGCTGAGGGTGTGCTCGACAGCAAGGCCAGACCTCAACTTTGCACCATTTTCTAGGACACTTTCTGTCACAGAGTAATTAAATTATTGAATACTTGTCAACCCAATCAAGTGTTGAACTTAATCCTCTAGGTCCTTCTGTGGTACCAACTGCTGCTGGCTCAGTCATCATACTTCTCTGCATGGCGTTTCCCAAATGGACTTGTATGTCCCATGCTTCTCTGCCATGGAGTGAAGCGGGTGGGTGAAGGAAGAAGGCAGCAGCCACAGCAGCCGCAGCAGCCAGGAGCTCACAAGAGGAGAAAGGGGGTTTCTGTTTATATACATGGGGTGAGACGGGGGTCTGGGAACGTGGAACTAAGAGAGCACAGAGACAGGCGTATTGAGGAAGGAGCTGCTGAACAGGCAAGTGTTAAACAGAAATCAAGTTTCTACATATTTTGCGTCCAAAGGACGGAAGCAGGGACTCGGGGTTGAGGAGAGATCCGCAGTGCTCAGGTGAGAGGAACTGAGTCTGGAGTTCCAGTTCCGGTTCCTGGAGTCAGACACAGGGTGCCAGCCTTACATCCAAAGTTTAATCTCCATAGATAATGACTTATTGAGGAGGAACCGGCCCCTCCACAGCAAAGCCAGTAAGAAATTTGGGAATGACAGACAGTAGATGCTCACATCTTCTGGAGGGAACGGCAACTATCAGGATAGAAAGGTCACTCAGGCAGGATGGCAGTGTCCTGGCCACATTTCTGAAGTTAGACTCAAGATCTAGTCTTCACACAGTAGCCCAGCAACCCCAACAAGCGACAGTACACTGCACACAGATGGACAGCGAAGGGCACTGCCCTCCAGAGTTTACGGGATGTGGTATTCTATCCCAGTGCCAGAACCTTGGAGGGCGTGGCCTCTGAAGGATGTCATCTCCAGGCAGACACAGGTGCTGCAAGCAGAGTAGCTGTCACTCACACGTAGTATGAGTGAACCCTTTACATAGGTGCAAGGTTTAACCTTATCAACGTGATAGGATTTAGAATCTCCATGGAAACAAGTCTCTCAGCATGCCAGGAAGCAAGTCTCCAGATTACTTTGGGGTGGGAAGTCCTACCCCAACTATGCGTGGCACTGTGCCATGGGCTGGGGTCCCTGACTGAACACGGAGAAAACAAGCCGAGTGGCAGTGCTCATCTGTGCTTTCTGACTGTGGACACAGTGGCCAGCCGCCTCAGCTGCTCACGCCTTCACCACCACCACCACAGACACTGTGGACACAGTGGCCAGCTGCCTCAGCTGCCCACGCCTTCACCACCACCACCACAGACACTGTGGACACTGTGGCCAGCCGCCTCAGCTGCCCACACCTTCACCACCACCACAGACACTGTGGACACAGTGGCCAGCCGCCTCAGTTGCCTACACCTTCACCACTATGACAGGCTGTACCCTCAGGTGGCAAGCCCAAATAAACCCTCCCTTCCTAAGTTGCCACCATCCTAAAGTCCTGACTCCTGAGGTTTCACTGGGACTTTCCCCTGCTTTGGACTGCATCTTGCTCGCTGTGAGGTCCTGCCAGCTCAGCCTGGCCTCCCACACTCCCGTTCACCAATCCCAGCTTCAGTTTTTCGTGTCCTATCCCTTTGGCTTTCAGACCTGATCAGGCCTTTGCTCTTGCTATTTTTGTCTGCCAGGAATACTCTTCTGCAGCTTCCCAGATGCTGGCTTCTCCGGCCAGGCTACCTCACAGATACCTGCCTTGGTCACCCTTGGAGAGATGCCCCCTCCTATGAGGTCTTTTCTAACGATGTCCCCATCTACACAGTCCTCCCTCTGCGGGGCAGAATTTTATCTCCATCACTTTCCTCTGCTCGGTACTCCAGTGCTGAGAACAGAGCCCTGCACAGTCACACTTGCACAATTCAGGGGAGATCCTGCAAATTATCTCAGACTTCCTGAATGAACAAATTTGATCGTGACTTATAATTAGGGATAACTTTGGGAATCTTCCAGCAAGGCTTTCCACTTGCTTCCTTCTCAGCCTCAGTCTAGGCTGGTTAATGGTTTGGAAAATGCAGCTGCCTGATTCAAGGATAACTTTACACAAACAATAAATACTTTCCTTGTGGCATTGCTTATAAAGCCAATGATATCAAATAATTGGGGGACAGATGAAGCTATGGTACAAGTGTATGCGGAAATAGTTCAAGGTCTTTGTACAAATCTCAGGAGATTGCTAGATGGAACAAGCTGGCACCCATGAAAGAGGGGACAATCTAGTTTCCACATTTGAAACTGGAACCTGCCAGCCCCAGGCACTCCCAAATCGAGACGAGGTCATAGCAGTGCACGGCAGCAGAGAAGGCAGGGACAGGACTGCCCAGGGGCCAGTCTGTTTGCTCTGCCCTCTGCAGCTGGGCCAAGAGCTACACAGCTTCAAACGCCACCAAGATGTTCCAGGAGGTGACTGTGGCTAGTGCTCACTTTGCAACAGAAGCAGCAGGATTACAGGAGTGGGCTCCAAAGGTGCCCCATCTACGGGTAGACACAGTGGCTGTGGAGATACCCTTGAATGATCAGGAAACCTAGAAAGCAGGCTGCCCTCTCCTTGGGAGTCTCGGGGATCATCAGTGATAACAACTATTACTTGATTCAGATAACAATTTTTCCAACATCAGCTGATGGAAGGCATCAGGGCAGTATCTGCCCGGCTTTCCTCTCTCAGGACCTGCCCTGGGAAGACAGGTCAAACCTGCAGGGCTGGGGCTGGGTGCTGCTTCTGGAGCGATCACAGTGCAGAGGGGCTGGCGTTTCTGTAACAGATGAGCACCATGCTGCTGCCAACAACAACTCCAGTTAAAGAGATGCTAAGGGAAATTTCACTCTTGCCTCCGAGTCAATGTGAGGCACCTTATTCAATTAACACGGCCACTGAGCCTCAGCCCTGAACAAAAGTCCTTTAGTTACAGATGACATTTTATTATGTGACAGTAGTTGCCAGCACAATTTATTTCCTTTGAGTTTGCCTTTTTCTTGCTAATTTAAATCTGTATTTTCTAGTGTTGATTCCAAGTCTGTGTGAATTTTTTAAAGCAACCATCAATCTTGTGGACCCAGTGGTCAAAAGGAATGGCGACGGTGCAGCCGGGCCGCAGCAGACCCCGCTGTCTCTTCAAACTGCTGAGGACTGCACGAGGAGGCGGTGGCTAACTTGCAGCTGGAGGTGGCTACTGTTTTCATGTTATGTCCCCTATGCATACACATACAGCCTTTTGTTCTGCCACCTTCTGAAGCTGCAGACTCCTGCATGTGCTCCAGGAACCTGGGGGTTCCTGAGATTTTGGGTGCGGTACAAGGTCACAACTTTCTACAATATTAAGCTATTTGGAAAATAAAATGACTTTCCTTAAAAGGGACATTAAAAAAGCATAAACAAAGCCAGGTGTGGTAGCTTATACCTATAATCCTAGCATATAAGAGGCGGAGGCAGAAGGGTTACTATGAGCTCCAGGCCAGCCTGGGTTATATAATCAATCCTAGGCCAGTCTCATAAACAAAACAAAACAAGAAAACAAAATCCAAACCAGCAAAAACTATAAAAAATTCAATAAATGAACTTTGAAATGATGCAGCTAAAAAAAATGAACAGAGGGCTGGGCAGCTTGCTCAACAGTTAGGAACACAGTTTGTTCTTGCAAAGCACCCTCATCAGATGGCTTATAACCGCCACTAACTCCAGCTCCAAGGGCCCACACCCTCTTCTGGATTTCATAGGCACCTGCATTCACATGTGCATACCACACACACAAATGCTCACACATATAATCACAAAATAATAAAAACAAATATTTTTAAAATGACAACAAATGCTAAGCCTAGAGAAAATAAGCTCAAACATGACTTCCGCCTTGGGGCACATTCAGAACCCTTACTGAGGGGACTCCCACACGGGGGTGGGGTGGGGCTTCTGCCTTGGGGCACATTCAGAATCCTTACTGAAGGGGACTCCCACACGGGGAGCGGAGCGGGGCTCCCTCCCAGACCCCAGATTAGGCACACCTGAAGACAACGCTGTAAGCTCACCACAGAAAGTTACATAGACATAAGACAGTGGTTAAGGGGTCAGGGCTGGGAGACGCTGGGGAAGGACCATGTGTGGAGTGGAACCTCAGTCACCAGGAACTAGGTCTTTGGACGGCGAACTGGGGCTGCTTTGAGGACCTCCTAACATTGCTGGGGCAGAACAAGGAGAAGGGATTTATGAACTGGATGTGTTCTGT